TTGCCGTGAAATGTTGCGAATGCATGATTCAGACCCCAACTTTTTTAATAAAATAATTTGGAGCGATGAATCATCATGTGAACGTGATGGTTATTTTAATTTACATAACCTTCACAGTAGGCAGATAGACAATCCTCACGAAATGAGATAAGATCGTTCGCAGTACCAACACAAAATAAATTTATGGTGCGGTATTTTTAATTGTCAGATATTGGGACCTGTGGAACTGCCGCCAACGCTCAACTCCCACAGTTATTTAAGATTCCTTCAGGAACGGCTTCCAACTCTTTTAGAAGATGTACCCCTAAACCCGAATGTACNTACGTCGCATGAATATTCGGATATTCACCTAATTTACGGTGAAGCTTTCTGTAATGCCAGAGCTGCTCAAAGACTCTATGCAGACCCNTTCGATTTTTTCTACTGGGGCTGTCTTAAGGCCAAAATTTATTCAAAAATAATTCAAAACGAAGAGCATTTTCGGGAACAAATAAATGGAGCTGCTGCTGGGATAGCCCAATTGAGTTTAAGCGTATTTTCTTAAAAGGTGCCGAGCTTGTATTAGAGTAGAAGGTCGCCAATTTGAGCATATTTTATCAATAAATGAATAAATTTTTCTTCAAACAACTCATGTATATTCTATTTCACGTGAACCCATCCTTTATAAAAAATATTGATAGATAAAGCCCTTGTTATTGACTCTAGTCCGAATCCCGGTAAGTAACACAAAATAATGTCAGGAGCAAGAGATAATGTACCTTTCAAAAACGGTGACACTTTTACCTGAAAAATTTTTGTTTATCAGGGAGCCTTCCTTCCTTCTCCTTAAGTTTGGCAGGTTACTTCTGGGACACCCTGTATGAAATCAATCGCATACTCATGGAAAAAATTGATGTTATTGGAAAAGGGGGCGTGGCACCTCCCATACGAAATTAATCGCATACTCATAAAAAAAGTTGATGTTATTGGAAAAGGGGGCGTGGCACCTCCCATACGAAATTAATCGCATACTCATAAAAAAAGTTGATGTTATTGGAAAAGGGGGCGTGGCACCTCCCATACGAAATTAATCGCATACTCATAAAAAAAGTTGATGTTATTGGAAAAGGGGGCGTGGCACCTCCCATACGAAATTAATCGCATACTCATAAAAAAAGTTGATGTTATTGGAAAAGGGGGCGTGGCACCTATCATACAAATCGAGTTTTTCATACTGCATATCTCTGGATGTGTTAATTGTAGTCAAGTACTCTACTCTACTCAAATAAACCGAATTTTTCATATTGCATATCTCCGTGAGTGTTCATGGTTGAATACTCGAATAGTATATACATAGTACTATATAGAGGTATACGAAATTAAATCGCATACTCTTATACATACATATAATTCTGCTGTTCGTGTGTTTGTGAGTTAAGCCCTGTATGCAGCTCTCAAGAAAACGGTCAAGAAAAAATTGCCATTATTTCGCGTGTGTTTCCAAGGAATTTTGACATATTTGATACCTCACAGCCTGTTGCCTCACTCTTTCCTCAAGAAACAATGGAACGGGCATATATTTCTGTTGCAAACCTGGGTTGCCTTGTGCTCTTTTTTCACAAAAAACTTTGGAAAACCGTAGTAGAAAGCGTAGTAAATTTCTTAAGAACTGCGTACTGCCTTAAGGAATTTTGACTCAAGAAAATTTCTTAGCCATTTCTTGTACGTCATTTTATATGGAGTTTTCTTGAGAGCTGCATACAGGCCTGAAACCGATTTTAACGAAATTTTGTGTGTGTGTTTGAGTAGGATAGTTTAGATAGTTTAGATTCCCATTTTGACCCGCCAGGTAGCGCTCGAGGCGTGTTGTTACTAAAAATCTTAGTTATGATCCGATCTCGCTTATATTCGAGATACTTATGCATTGGTAGCGGTAAGGGCAAAAGAATTGGAAAAAAACATCCTCCGAATGGCGCTGGAGTCGAGTTATTACTAAAAATCGTCAAGTGAGAAAATGTGCCATGAATATCCGATTACATGCGTTAAAGTTTCATTCGGAGACACCAGGATTGGGTTGCCCAGGGGTCAATCTCAAATGAACACCGTTAAATCAACCATCAGCACCAATGTTCTCCGTGATAAGATATTTAAGGTATTTCGTCTGAAATAAGTCTATGTATATTGGAGTTCTGTAGAACAACGATACGCACTAGCTCGGAGTTGGTAGGCGTAGGCCGAAAATTCGCTTTTTTAGAATTTTGATTGGTAATAGCAAAAATATCGTTCATTATGCTCTAAAATCAATCTATGTGAAAGATGACAATTTTTGGTCAATATCTTAGGCTCACCCAAGACCATCAAAGTTCAATGTGCGCAAAAAATGAAAATTAATAAATACATTGATTAAAACATTTTTCTTACAAAAATTGCAAGTATCTTCGAAAGTATTACTCCTACATAATTTGGTATGTGGACCTTTTCGGTAGAGAATCGAAGTGAGCTAAGAAAAACTTTTTTAGCACTAGATCAGCAAACCAAAATTGATTAGTGAATTTGAAGTTTGTGGTACGCCGTAAAACTTTATTCTTATCTCGACAAATTGCAAAATAATTATCCATTGCTGGGGAATGTTAAAACCGAGTTTTTGGCTTTCAGTTTAAAAGCAAAAAAAAAATTATTAACACCTAAATTAAAAAGTTAAAAGAAAACGGTTTATGAAAACACCGATCTTATTTGAACATCCCTACAAAATGGCAACCGTGATCTCAGCTGTAGGCACTTTTGCACCCGAGCGCAGTTATGCACAAGGGAATTATAACTTTGTTCACATAACGGTTGTTTTTAAATGAGCCAAATCGGACCGTAACCACGCCCACTTCGCATATATCGGTAATTTTCAGAAATACGTAAACTGCGATATTTTACTGAAGCTTATTCACTGAAAATTGATATTTACAATGAATTTTCGACGTAAAATAAGAATAATATAAATTTTTGGTAAATGGGCGTAGCCTCGCCCACTTATGATTACATGTGTATATCTTGGTAACCGCTACACCAATTTTTCCCAATTTCAGAAATTCTTGAAACTTCGACAAAATATTTTTTTATTTTCACTTTTATTTCAACAAAGATTGATAAAAAGAAAAATACGGATAAAAATAAAATATCTCACACAAACAGGGTTCCTGCCCGTATTTTGTTTGTAAGTCAAATATTAGTGGCATTATGCTACTATGATAGCCGAGTAATCAAAGTCAACTTATGTACGGTAGTCGAAAAAATTATAGTCGCACCAAATTTTGACCAGTTGTAAAATATTATTTTTGTTGTTATTTAATTTTGGTTAGTTTTTTATAGTTCATTATTTACCAACATCCGTATAAATACAAGTTTAAAGGCAGTGTCACACGATTGGAAATTTGCCGAAATTTGGTGCAAATCGTATCCCAATTGTGTGAATACTCAAATATTTGTCTATATCCCAATAGTTTGTTGAAATATTTCAATACAAGATTGCTGTATTGTACCAAGGTTTTGACTAAAAAAAAAATTTTTTTCAAAAATTTTTTACCTATAGCTCAATATAAAAATGCACAAATCTGTACAAATGTACCAATCGAGTGACACTGCCTTAAAAATTTATTCAATTTAAAAAAATTCAACGAATTTTCGTAAAACTTTCGAGTTTCTAATTAGATTCTGAGTATTCAGTTTTTTAGCCCATTGAATTCTAGTAGAATAAAGTACAAGTTTCAAATGGCTAAAAATTATGGTTGATTTTTTAGAATTTTTAAAAAAGCTCGAAATTTGTACGAAAGTTTGTTGAATTTTTTTCATATTGCACAAAGTTGGTAACTTGGATTTACACGGGTTTTCTTAAAGAAAAAATTATCAAAATTAAATAACAACCAAAATAACACGGTAAAACTTGGCAAAAAGTGGTTCGGCTGTAATATTTTGACCACTGGATGTATTTTTTTTATATATTTAATTGGATATGCACATTGTACATAAAGGTATGTACATAACAAAATTAAAAAATAATGTCTTGTTTTACCTTTTTTTTAAAGCTCCTACAGTTTATTATATGTATCTATAATGCGTAGAATTTTACAAAAAAAATTTAATGTTAAATAAACAAAAGAAATATAGACAAAGCTGACAAAAAGATGGCGTTTCTTTTATTTTTGCCACTAGAATTTCGAAATTACGAGAATCTTTCAAACACAAAATACCTTGGTTGACTTTATTTTTTTACATTGAGCTTTTGCGACATACCATGTGTATTAATTCAATTGTTGGGGAATCCGAAATAAAAGTAGCATTCTCAATTCTTAGAAATAAAACCCTGCGTTAAGGTATAATACGCCATCTTGAGTAAGGTAGCCAAGTTTTTGCTTGAGATAATGAACGTCATCAGAGGGATTTAACCACACATAAGTTTTCCGAAATTGTAAAATTGTTTTATTATTAAGTTGTTAAGAATATAACAGACGGCCTTGAATTAAACGTACACATTGTTTTACGTTGGTACTTGTCACACTCGGCAGACCATAACATTAATTACTGTCTTGTTATGTTTACTAATGAAATAATTTTCACTTTAAATAAAAAAGTAAGTTTCAAACCTATTGATTTATTATTTATTATATGGTAGGAGAACTTCTTAAACAATATTGATTCAAGTTTTTTTGAGCTAAGTGGTTGAAAAATAATGGATACCGGGATCCCGGGATTGCAACAACGAGATCCCAAAAATCCCGGGATCGTAAACATCTAAAAAATTTACATCCCTAATATGTACCCATATGTAACTAAATATGTGCCCATATGTAACTAAAAATTTAAAGATTTTAATAAAACTAGCAGTGGATTGTACAATTTTTGCGCCTAACAAAAAAGTACTGAAGTGTACTGTTTTTTTAGCTCTGAAAAATCCGAAAGTACTGAATTTCGAGAAAAAGGATCTGGCAACTACAATCTCGTTTATTTTTTATGTTTGTTATCTATTTGAATAGAAACCAGTTATGGGACGTGCGAGACACCTGGCGGAACGTCTGGTGATTGCATTGTAATACAATTATGCACAATTCTATACAATCTGGCTATGAAATCCGATTTAAAAGACGATGAACTAATTTTTTTAAGAAACAGTCAATGTGGAAAGATTGGAAAAAATCCTTTGGTTAGTACAAACTTGCTATATATATTTACGCTTACTAACCTTGTAATTGTAATACAATTATAGTTATAAATTATATGTTAATTGACTTACTTATCAAAAGAAATATTTCGTTTTCTCATTTTTATTAAGGTTTGTTGTCCGAAGCCTGTTTTTGAGAGTCCCACTGAAAAAATAACAGGTAACTATAGGAAGAGGTTTATTGTACATACAGTAAAACCCGCTTAAGTACCTCACGAAAAATGTCAGCTTTTTGAGGTACTTAGGCGGGTTGGGCACTTAAAATAACCCGCTTAAGTACCTCGATGCGGGTACTTAAGCGAACATAATTACTGATGTAGTTTCATCTTCTTGTTAACTTACATAAAAACTTGAATAACAACATTTAATGAAGTATACATAAACAAGTAAAGAAAAACTTTGTAAAAAAAAATATTTAGTGCAATGGTATGTCATTTTTACAAGAATTAAATTGTTTAAAAAGTCAAAGTTGGACATATCATTTTTTACCAAATTAAAATGTTATTGTTTGCCACTTATGTTTATTCATTAATTTTTAAATGCAGTTCATTCCCTAACAAAATCCAAATAAACCTAAGCTTAAGATTTTGTAGAATACTTAAAAAAATTCATCATAGTTTCAAACTTTTTTCTCAGAAGTGTTTTCTGAGTATACAGTTTTATAGCCCATTCAATATTAGTGTAATAATATGCAAGTTTCAAGTGGCTAAAAGTTACCGTGGATTTTTTAGAATTTTTTTCCCGAAGGTGTGTAGCGCTGCTACTGAATTTCAAAATAATTAAATATTTTAAGGAATTTTAAAAGAGCACTTAAAAGGGGAAAATAATAAGTCAAATTGTAAATGAGGCACGAGAAGATGAGGTATTTAGGCGGGTTGGGTAAATAAGTGGGGAGGTACTTAAGAGAGGGATTTTCTTCAGATTACATTAAAAAATTCACGGTGTCCAAAAATGTTGGTTACTTAAGCGGGTTAAGTACTTAGGCGGGGGGTACTTAAGCGGGTTTCACTGTATTAGCCCACTGCACAAGTATGTGCTAGAGGACTGCATGAATTCATACAAAACGGCTTGTTAATTATTCGTATACAAAATGAATGAATGATTTTGGCTTAAATTTTTTTTGAATTTGAGTGAATACCTTTTCTGATATATGTGTCGATATCACAATATTCAAACTAAGTGAAAATAAACTGAATTGAAATAAATGATGATTTTGTGTATGACCCACATAGCATTTGTAAGATTACTTTAATAGAAATCGCCTTACTGAGTCTTCTTCGATCACTTTTGATGATTAAAACCTCATAATTCGCTTCCGCGATTAAAAATAGACTCGAAAATGGCTCACCATTACGCTTGAAAAGTAATTTTTTGAAAATATAAAAACGTAATGCAGGGCAATCACAAATTGATCATACTGGGGATTAAAATGTAATCGTTTCCTTTGCTATTGTAAAAAACATTTGCTTCAGCTGCCTTTGCTTCTAACGGCATAATTCTTCATAATTTTTTGCCAAATTTTGGCAATAGCAGTCGAGTCGTGGTATGAAGTGCGTGGTGTAAGAAAATTGCAATATACTATGTATGTAAAGTAGTATAGCCTAATATTAATACGTTTTATCTTAGATATTTGCCGTCTTAAATTCAAAAAAACAAAGCAAGAAATAAACGGTGTACTACAAAAGCATTTTGTGCGTGCTAAGACAGGTTGGAAAAACGAAAACAAACCAGATCATTGCAAGTATACACGGCAAAGAACCAGTGCAATTCGTAAAATCGATTTCTTGATTTTAATATTTTGAATTTTTATATAAGTACATACCGACAAAAGTATTGGCACTAGGAATTTTTCACCAAGCGTGCAAAGTTTTTAACTAATTTCGTATCGCTAATTTTTTTTATAAAAACATAGTTCATATTACGACAAAAAACAAATAACATATCAAAACTCAGGAAAATTGAATAGATTTCCAACTTTGCAACGCGATTTTTGGCAAGTTTTTTCTGACTGTGTCTTTCATACAAAGTATGTTCGCCATTTTTTATATGGAAGACACTGTCGAAAAAAAATTGCCAAAAATCAACGCGATTTTTTAGCAACTTGGAACTTGCACTTTATTTAAAAAGTTGCAATTTCATAAAATTTTTATGTGTTCTGCATAAAGTTTAGACATTTTATTTTTATATTTTTGTTGTAATATTATACGTTTTTTATAAAAAATTTGCGAAAAGAAATTGAAACAAAATACTTTGAGTACATTGGGAAAAGTTCTCTGTATCAATTACTTTTATCCTGGAGGGTAATTTTGAAATATTTTCAACTGTAATAATGGATTTTATTAAAAAAAATTCGTTATTTCATTAACTCTTATTTTGAACTCAATAAAATATGCTGATTTGCTAATTATAAATTAATTTAATACTTATTTAATTTTTCGCAGCATAAACGATTTGAAAATAACCTGAAAAAGGACTGGGAAAAGACTCGAAAATATTTTGCAATACGACTGAAAAATGACTCAAAAAAGGCTCACAAATGTTTACAAATACGGCTAAAAAATGACTCGGAAAAGACTCGCAAATGATAAGAGATACAACTGAAATATCATTTGATTAAGACTCACAAATGAATATAAAAATACGACTCGAGAAAGAGTCAAAACTGATCAGAAAAGTGGTTAATAAAAGACTCTTCAAGAAGAGTCGCGGGCAGGGTACCATTTTCTACCAGCAAAAGAGTCTTTTATGATCAGAATATGAGGGCATTTATGATTATTTTAATCGCGCAAAGGACTCAAAAAAGACTCGAATATGATCAATAATTTCAGAAAATGCTGGGTTGGGAGGACTTTCAGTTATATATATATGTATGTATACATATATATGTATGTATAGCGGTGCAAGAACAATTCCCTTTTGAGAATTGCATCGGGGCTGCAAATGTTAAATGTATCCTCCTGACATTCATCTTCACTTGAATAATCTAGCCAAACCAGATGTGTCATCTTTTCTCTAGCTTTTTCAAACGAATTCTTCATTCTCATTCTTTTTTCTTTATGAGAAAAATAAATAAAATTAAACTTATTTATGAAAATGTAGAAATAACTAGTTATACATCCAGTTGTTTCAATAGATCTTTGACAAATAATATCCGATAGTTACGTATTTAAAAGTGAGCATCGATTCTCTTTATAATATTGTTATGGGTTACTGTTCGCCGCACAGAAATTTAAATATTTTATTCTTCGGCGTATAGTGCACCCGGTAATGTGTCAGAAAAATTCACCATCGAATATTGTCCAGAGTGTGCCGCAACGCTAAAACTGCCAATTAGAGTCTACCATCTTGACAAGTCTTGGAGGGGTTGCCACTACACGGAACATTACCGGCTAGTACATAAAAAGCCTAAAAACGGAAAAGTGACGACAACACACTTAGACAGGACACACTATAGGACTATTAGTGGCATGATCTCATTGGAGGCGTCACCAAAGAAATTTCGCGCCACTGCGTTGCGAAAAAAAATTTCCGTGAAACTGCCGTTACAAGAATCAGGCGAGACTCCCGTTACCAAATTACGCGTGATGTAGAGATGGCCCCCAATGGGTAAAAATCGATATGCATGCAACCGTTCATTATAAAATAAAATTTTTACCAATATCATATTTTCCTTTTCCATGACCCATGACGTTTTTTTTTCTCTTAAAAGTTACGATATCATGCTTTCCGACTTTTAGGATGCTTAACATACGCAGGTCCTTGTTAACATTGCCTGAAACTAAGCTCTCTAACAATAGTCGGTAAAGAAAGTAAATAAATTGGCAAGTTGTTTTTCCTTCAATAGAAAACTAATTATTAAATTTTAACGCCTTATCTACATTTACTTACCCTTACGTAAATCTGTTATATACCTTAAAATCAATATATACATCCTTAATTTCCCTATAGATCTGAAAAAATATAAATAAACCCAGCCCGATTGCATGGTACATATCGATAACGCCGCGGCCATCTCTAACATGCCAAGGCAAGGGTATAAAACTTGCTGGCAACCTCACAGTCGGCCATTTGCGATATCGTTTGTCACAATCAAGTGTAAGTGAAGAAAAACAACCAAAGTGCGTTTTAGTGTGAAAATAATTTATTTTGTGGGTTTTTATCACACCAAACAAGTTTAAAAACAGAAAACAACAAACTAAAAAAACCAAACTTTCGCCAAAAGTAGTCGAGAGAAAAAAGAAATCATTGTGTGCAGCAGTGGAGGAATTAGCCCCGAGAAGTGCACGTGTACATACCCTTGTTGTTGTTGTTGTAGCGGCACTACTAAGCCCCGCCTTTTTCGGGTCTACGTTCAATCATTGTCGTCAAGCTCAACTACGGGAGGCCCAGGAAACGAGCTGTTTCGATGGGTTCGGACCAGAGGGAGAGGGATGTTAGTTGAGTCGGATTGAGCTGGCATGTAAAGAGGTGGTTGGTGTCGTGGGGGGACTCTCCACATGGGGATATTGGGGTCGAGTCTGGACAGGTAACTGTTAAGGCGGCGACAGTATCCAGACCGTAATTGAGCCAGGGTAACGCGGGTCTCTCGTGGCAGTTGAAGCCCCTTCGGTGCCACCTCTTCGGAATAACGAACTAGCCTTGCACATTGCATCCGCAGCAGCGGGCCACCACGGATCGGGCACGTCTATTGAACCCGGTGAATGGCATCGGTGGTAGCCTAAACGGTGCATCCTCGTTACTAATCCAATCAAGACCCGTATCTTTCGTATCGTTACTTTTGATACAAGCACTTGTAACTCACACAGCGTTGCCAGGTTGACGTTTTTAACGTCATTTGGACGTTTTCTGTATCCTGTTGACGTTTGGACGTTTTTTGTGTAAAAAATTACGTTTTTTAACTTCCCAGTAATTTTTCTTTGTTACTAAATCTTATAAGTAGAACTAATTTTGAATTATTTTCTTAATAAATCTTTACAATCTTTTTGGACTAAGGATCCCGTGTTCAAAGGCTTGTTGTGTAAACACTTGAGGTTACGAGGCTTGCTGTAATGTTTGCAATTGCACATTAAAAGCCAAATCAGGAAGAGCCGATCTATTGCAGCAGGCACGCTCGCAAAAGCATCAAAAAAGCTGTGCAGCATAAAACGGCAGAAAAAAGTA